TAAAGTGCGAAAAAAAAATCTTGAATGCAAATTTAAAGTGCTAAAAAAATGAAAAAAAAATAAAAAAAAATTTAGCAACAATAATAGGGAGAAAAAAAAACAAGGAATTGATAATAAAAGAAAAAAATGAATAAAGGGAATAGGGAAAGCAAAGACAAATATAGAGCAATTTTTAAATGAACTAATGAATTAAATAAATAACAAGATTAAATTGAAGGAAAACAAACTAATGACAATAATAAGAAAGAGATTGAAAAAAAATGGGGAAAATAAATAAAGGAATGGGAAAGCAAAAACTAGCATAAAATATAAAGATAACTTAAATGCAAAATGATTGAAATTTAGGAGCTAAAAGCAATGAGTTACGGAGAAAATATCATAGACCAGAATCAATTCGAATGCAAATTAATTAGAATTCAAAAGCGGAAGAATTAACAGAAGCCAAAATAACAAATGGACAATCAAATTAAGCAGATAGAAAACAAGAACAAATATAAAGAACGAAATCAAATTGCACAGTAAAGAATTCCCCGGCAACGGCGCCAAAATTGATGGATAATTTTTATTAAGTCCTCGCAAGTGCACGAGTCACTGTTGTAGTAGTGTGCTTTCGCAAGAGTCGATCCCACAGGGAATTGATACGAAGCAATTTAATAACTAAACTTAAAAGAAAAAATTGAATGAAATGTTCTGAAGTACTCAAAATGTGATAAGCTTAATATCAATAAAAAAACTAAAGCAATGCAATTTAGAAAACCAAGAAAAGAATTGAGCAACTAAAAACCAGACAAATAAGATCGCAAATAACTCAGCAGCTAATAAGAAAACGAGACTCTAAGAACATGAATAAAATTGGTCAAAGTTTAACACGATTAATCTTATAAAAAGAATAAAACTTAATTCGTTGGCAATATAAGAATCAAACTACTGCAAAATCAATTAACTAGCAATGCATTTTAAAATTAACAAGAAACACCATACAATATCATCCTTTCACCAAGAACCTAATATCAAAATAGATTAATAACAAGGGAAAAATAAAGTGGAAGAAAGAAATGGCAGTATGAGATGTTGTGCTCAGAATTGCAGATTAACAAATTTATCTAAACTAATGAAGCAACAATTAAGTAAATAACTCCTAAACACACTTAGCAATGACTAATCACAAAGAAAATCTTCCAAACACTAATTACGAAGTAAATGAATTAATGATATTAGAAGGAGTAAGGAGAATGGAGATTGCCGCGTGAATATTGCTTGTTGCTGCCCAGACCACCAATTTGTTGCCGCCAGGAGAAATTGCAGCCGCGACCGGAAGAGAATTTGCTAATCAGAATTCGCCAACCACCGAACCAGAATTACTGTCCGCCAAAGATTCGTACGACCGAACACTGGAAATCACCTCCGACCGGAATTGGTCCGGAGTGAACTTGATGATCTTCAATGATGAATCGTGGCTTCCTTTTATATATTGTTCCCGCCAAGCTAAGCCACTTCTCCGCTAAGTTCTACGGAGCCATGGAGAATTCTTCTCCTAGTTAATTGGATCGTAGCTATGACCGAGAAGAAGTCTGATTCCTTCATTATTGATATAATAATAAAAATAATAATAATAATAATAATAATAATAATAATAATAATAATAATAAACTTTATTAGAGACCATATATAACTCATCTACACTTATTAAACTCCTACTAATTATGTACTACTAAAACTAATTAATATTATTATTATTATTAAATTAGGATCAATGAATTATTAGATTGACAAAATTCAAATAATAAAACAAATTTAATAATTAAAACAAGTTAAAATTAAATAATATTACTAAAAACTAATTATAGCATAAATAAATAAAAATCGATATAAATTAATCAATTATTGCAAATTAACTATAAAAATATCATTAAAAATAACACTAAAAATAATGTTTATCACTTGGCGTCGACCTCGTCTGGAGGTAGCGTGCCTGTCTTCATGTACTCATTGAGGTGGTCCAACCAGCAGGGAGGTCGGATTTGCACGGGTAGGACCGGGTAGGCGTCCAGGCTCGACCTCTTGAAATCTTCAATTCGGGCTATTTTTGAGATATGTTCCGGGGCCCCTTGGGCGAGCTTGGATAACATGTCAGCATCTGTGTTCTTGTCTCGGGGTACCTGTAGGACCTCATAATTGATCAGCTGCCCCAGTAGCTGGAACACCACGTCTCGGTACCTCCTCATTCTTTCATCACTTGCTTCAAATTTACCTGTGACCTGTCCCACCACGAGTCTAGAGTCACATCGGATTTTGAGCTTCTCCACCCTCATATTTAGTGCGAGGCGGATCCATCCCAGGAGTGCTTCATACTCGGCCTCGTTGTTGGATAATTTGAACGCGAAGCGGAGGGCGTAGTAGGCCCGAAACCCCTCCGGTGTTATGAGGACGACTCCACCCCCGCATCTTTTAGTGCTGGAGGACCCGTCCGTTGAGAGGGTCCACCACTCCTCGTCTTCGTCCCTGACTCGCTCCGTTGCCTCCCGGGCAGTGCACTCGACTATAAAGTCAGCCAGCGCCTGCCCCTTGATGGCGGGTCGGGGCTTGAACTGGATGTCGAACTGGCTCAGCCGCATGGCCCACCTGACCAGCCTGCTTGCCAACCCCGAGGCCCTCAGTACTTCGTCTAGTGGCTGGTTGGTGAGGACCTGCACGGGGTGGGCCTGGAAGTAGTGGTTCAGCTTCTTTGCCGTCGCATCTACTGCAAAAATGGCCTTTTCCACAGGTGTGTACCTGATCTCTGCTCCCCGTAGAGCTCGGCTCGTGTAGTATACGGGCCGCTGGACCCCCTCGTCGTCCCGGACCAGCACGGAGCTGACCGCGGCCTGCGAGATGCCCAAGTACAGATATAGGACCTCTCCCTTAACGGGTTTGGCCAGGGGGGGAGCGACATCAGGTACGTCTTGAGGTCCTCGAATGCCTTCTAGCACTCCTCGGACCATTCGAAACCCTTAGTCTTTTTGAGGACTCCAAAGAACGGCAAGGACTTCTCGGCCGACCTCGAAAGGAAACGGCGCAGGGCTGCCAACCGCCCGTTGAGGCGCTGGACCTCCCGGAGGGACCTCGGAGGTTCCATGTCTAGGATGGCCTTGACCTTGTCAGGGTTGGGCTCAATGCCCCTCTTCGAGACCATGTACCCCAAAAATTTCCCCCCATGCACCCCGAAGGTGCACTTTTTGGGGTTCAACCGTAAATTGAAGCGTTGCATAATTGAAAATACCTCGGTAAGGTCATCTATGTGGAGGTCGGCGTCGGTACTCTTGACGATCATGTCGTTGACGTAGGCCTGGAGGTTGCGACCGAGGACCTGCTTGAATACCTTGGCCACCATTCGGGTGTAGGTGGCACCTGAATGTTTCAGTCCGAAAGCCATAACCTTGTAGCAATAGATCCCCTCTGGCGTGGTGAAGGTTGTCTTCTCCTCGTCAGCCTCCTCCATGAAAATTTGGTGGCACCCCCTGAACGCATCTAGGAAGCTCATGAGGGCACAACCTGCAGTCTCGTCCACCAGCTGATTGATGTTGGGGAGGGGAAAGGGGCCCATAGGGCAGGCTTTGTTGAGGTCGGTGTAGTCCACGCACATCCTCCAGGTGGGCGGCTTTGGGGCGAGGACTACGTTGGCCAGCCAGGTGGGGTATATGACCTCCCTAACATGACCAATCTCTAGCAGTGTGTCGACCTCCTTTTTGACGAACTCCCTCCTCTCGGCGGAGAGATACCTTTTGCGCTGCTGGATTGGCCTGACCGCGGGGTCGACGGCCAACTTGTGTGTGGCCGGAGCTCGGCCGGGAGGCCGACCCCTACCTTCACAACCCGGTCAGGTCGGCTGAGGTCGAGGATGACCTCCTCTGTCTCGACCACGGGCTCGGCCCGAGGTCGACCTACCTCCTCCCGAAATGCCTTCTCGGCGATGGTATATACCTAGAGGTCCTTTTGACCAATCTGGCGGCACGCCTTCAAGTAGCAGCTGCGGCTTACCTTTTGGTCCCCCCGGGCGACCCCGACCCCGGTCGGTGTCAGAAACTTGAGACACAGGTGCTCCATGGAAATTACGCACCTGAGGTCCTCCAGGGCAGGTTGGCCGACTATTATGTTGTGGGCACAGCTGATTTTCACGACTACGAACTCGACCTCCCACTTCCTGGTGTGAGGTGGGGTGCTTATCTCCACATCCAAATTGATCGACCCCTCCGTCTCAATTGAGTCCCCCATGAACCTAGACAGGGGGGTCCGTACCGGCTCCAGCTGCCTTCTTGAGAGTCCCAGCTGGGTGAACGTGTCGTAGTACATGACGTTCACCGAGCTACCCGTGTCTACGAGTACCCGGTTCACCACCACGTTGATGATGTCCAGCTTGACCACCAGGGCGTCTCGGTGGGGGAGGGGCCCATCTGGCAGTTCGGCGTCGGTGAACGTGTTGGGCTCCCTCTTTGGTTTCTTTTCGTGGGGGGAACGTGTGACCTCCCCTACGTACAAACTCCTCGCCCACCTCTTCCGCTCGGCTGGCGAGTCCCATCCCTCGGGCCCCCCAAAGATGACGTAGATGGCCCGTTTCTTCGGGGGCTGGGAGTCCTCCGTCGTCTTCTCCTCCTCCTCAGAACTGCGGTCGTGGTGGACCCTCTTGCGGGGAGGAGCCGAGGTGGATGGCGCCTGGCCACCCCCCTTCCGCCATACATTGCTCTGCTTCTGGCCCTGGGCCTGTTCTTGCGCCTGGCCGGGCTTCTTAATGAATTGGCCGAGGTAGCCCATTTGGATGAGCTGCTCGATTTGTCTTTTTAGGAGGATGCATTCGTCTATATCGTGTTCTTTCTGCCGGTGGAACCTGTAGTACTTGTTGGGGTTCCCCCTCGCTGATATCTTCATGCACTCCTCCTTCGGGAATACCACGATTCCATAGTCTTCCGCGTGAGCCAAGATAGTACCCACAGGTTGTGTCAGCGGGGTGAGATAGCGTGTGGGGTTCATCCGGGCCCCTCAGCGTACTCACGTCGGTGTGGTCGGGGCGCCTTGCGCTCCTCCTGGGGTGCCTTGTCTTTCCGACCTCTTCCTTCTTCCTGCTCCTTCTTCCTCTTCTCGGCAGCCTCGGCGTCAGCGTACCTCACTGCCTTGTCCATCAGGTCGGTGTAGGTCTTGGGAGGGTACCTGATGAGGTCCTGGTGAAAAGCGCCCGACCTCATGTTGTTCCGGAAAATTACTATGGTCGACTTCGCATCAAAGTCGGCGACCCCATGACCTCTTTCTTCCACTTGCTGAGGTACTCGGCTAGTGATTCGAGCTCCCCTGCTTCAAATCACACAGGTCGGCAATTTGCTTCTTCCGCTGTATGCTGGTGGCGAAATGGGATAGGAACTGCCGGGAGAGGTCCGCAAAGGTGGAGATAGACCCCGCCGGGAGGGATCCGAACCAATCATGCGCCTGCCCGTCCAAGGTGGCGAAGAACCCCTACACAGGATGGCGTCCGTTGCCTCGGTGATCGTCATGGCGGCTCTGTACCTGGTCAGGTGTGCCCGTGGGTCTGTGGTCCCCGAGTATGCTTTAATGGTGGGAAAGCAAAAATCTCGAGGTAAGGGCTCCTCTATGATGGCGTTTGCGAACGGGGAGGACAACACATCTTGGGGCTCTGGAGATCCGTCCCTCTCGTCTACCTTCTTTTGGAGCCCGTCCATCCTTCTCTGCAGTTGCTCGACCTCTGCCCGATGGGAGCTCGGAGCTCTACCATTCGTTTCCCCTGATCGTTCGACCCGGGAGGCCTGCGCACGCCGATGTGGGACTCGGGTCCCCCGACCTGGTGACCTCCGGGTGGCTGATTGTCGTCGTGCCTGCCTGCGGGAGCAGGATTCTGCTGGTGGAGGCTGATTAGCGGCAGGCCTCGGGCCCAACCTCTCTCGGGCTGGCACCGGGCTGCCCAACCTCTCCGTGGCGGGCCTGGTCTGGTTTGACCTCCTTCCATCGTCCTCCTGACGTCGGTCGCGTAGTGAGTCCCCTCCTCCTCGTGTGTTCGTCCGGCGGGGTGAATTGACCTCCCCCTGGGTGACAGGTGCCTGGGGCGGCTGGGTGCTTGGACCGCTGCGCCCCCGGGTGGGGGGAGGTTGAGGAGGTGCAGGCAACCTTCGGTTGACGCCTGGGTCGGCAGGTATACGCGCCCGGAGGTCCGCCATGACTCGGGCCAACCCTGTGGAGGCTTGCTCGAAGACCGCCATCCCCTCCCGGATGAGGTCTAGGTCCCGAACAGGGGGGGCGGGCGTTGGAGCTCCGTCACTGCGGGGGTTGGTGAGCTGGGCCCTCAGATCCTCCCCTGACCTGGTGGAGGTGGCCGGTTGGATGCTGGGGCCATTCCCGTTCACGACGGGCTGGGTGCCGCGGGAACCATTGGTATGACGAGAGCTGGATCTTGATCGTGCCATCGCTGTCGATGAACAATAGTGGGGAGAGCGCTTAAGCTTGTACAGCAGCTCTCAACAAGAGTACCAATGATGAATTTAATTAACCCGGAGTGGACCCAAATCAATAAATCCGGATAAGTACGTAATATAATAAATAATAAACGAAAAATAGAATGATGTCGTAAAGGTCGCTGGGGACCGTATATTATATTAATTGCCGTAGTATTTGGCTATTACAAAGATCCGATAGGACAAAGTGTGTAATAAGTGTAGAATATGTAATGAATCGCCCTTTGTTAGGACAAGGAGGGGGGGTTTATATACAAGCTAACCGCCCAACCGCCTCCCCCTAAATCGGGGGGTGGTTAGATCTCACTTTGACCGGGCCCGGGCGGACCGGGTCGGGTCGTGTCCCGAGCTCAGGTAGGACCGAGCTCCCCGACCCGAGCTCCGCGTAGGTCGGCTAGGGTCGGGGCACCTCCATGGTGCTCCGGGTCCGCGTTGCTCTCAGGCACCTCAATGGTGCCCAGGGTCCGTGTTGCTCTTAGGCACCTGCGTGGTGCCCCGGGTCCGCGTTGCTCTCGGGCACCTCCATGGTGCCCCGGGCCCGTGTTGCTCTTGGGCACCTCCGTGGTGCTCCAGGTCCGTGTTGCTCTCGGGCACCTCCATGGTGCCCCGGGTCCGTGTTGCTCTTGGGCACCTCCGTGGTGTCCCGGGTCCATGTTGCTACCCCGGGTCGGGTCGTGGGTATAATATATCCATCAATTAGTTTAGGAAATCACACTCAATAATTAATATGCCTATTATAGTAATAAAATCGAAATATATAATAATATATAGTAAATTACAAACAGTTACATTAATAAAATATGGTAAGTGTTACTTTAATATATCTATTATAGTAAGAAAAAAATAACTTCGTAATTAATTAATATAATATATATATATATATATATATATATATATATATATATATATGGATTACTATGGAGTGCTAATATAATAATATGTTAATATATTTAAAGAAAAAAATTATTTATGAATTTTCAAAGCAATTCCATCTGAGAAATACTTTTGAATAATGCATGAATCGGCCACAAAACCCCTATAAATATACATTTTTCACACTTCTCACCCTCACTTCACTATCGTCTAGGCTTCTTAGTTTCTCTCTAGTATATAGACAACTATGAATCCAGGAACAAAGACATCCATGTTGGTTTTAATTTTCTCCTTGGTTATTGCTACAGGTAACCATGGTTATTATTTCATTTACAAAAATTATTAATATCTGAAGTTAGAATATTATATTCATGTTACCGATTATATCTTTTAAGTCCAATTTTGTTTGTGACGTTTATGTTTATTCTTATTATTATAATTTTGAAAAATCTTGAATTATTATTTTCTCTAACATCACGAATGTAAAATTATAAATCTTTGCAGACCTTTCACTAGTTGTTGAAGCAAGGATTGCAGCACAAGGATGCAGAGCTAGTTTGCCGTGCCCACCTCACTGTATATGTAACGACGCTGACATTTGTATATGTAAAGAAGGTCCAAATAATTATGGGGGTAATGTTATCAAGCCCCAAAAATTTGAAAATTTTGTAACCGAGGGTGTTGCAGATCGAATTAATGGAAATATCTAGATGATTTTATATGTATTGAGTAATGGTATATTTAATCGAGGAATGAACTATTTCTGAAAACTATATATATATATATATATATATATATATATATATATATATTGAGAGAGAGAAGAGTGATTATTTAAAAATTAGTTGTAATTATTATTAAAAAATCCAACGACCCATGTTTAATTATAATAATAATAATAATAATAATAATAATAATAATAATAATAATAATAATAATAATAATAATAATAATAATAATAGTAGTAGTAGTAGTAGTAGTAGTCAATACCCATTTTGGTCCCTCGACTATTAGATAATATTAGTTAATACCCATTTTGGTCCCTCGACTATTAGATAAATTGACGTTTTTGCCACTCTCTATAATGGTGGATAGATGACAATTGGAATGGAAGACCAAATTGGGTATGATTTACAAGTTAGAGGACTAAATTGAGTACTTTTAATAGTATGAGACTAATTTGCGTGTTACCTAATAGTCAAGGGACCAAAATGGGTATTAACTCAATTTTTTAATATGAGACAAAGGCTTCTTCTAAACCTTTCCATATCAATTTTTCAACTCAAACGGGTATATACCCTAAGAATCAATTTCTGATTTACACATTATCTATTCTCATCATTATATATATATATATATATATATATATATATATATATATATATATATATATATATATATATATATCGATTTCTTTCTCTCACTTGAAAGAACCCGGATCAATTGTAACCTGATTTCTTTGCCTCACATAATATATACAATTGTAGTATGAATAGGAATTGTATTACCGTATTTTACAATACAAAGCAAACCTTAATAGTATATGAGTGTTTTGGGCGAAAAGTTAAAATTAAGGATTTTGTTTTTATTAATAATATAAATATATAGTAATTGTTACTATAATATGCTTATTATAGTAATATAAAAAAAACAACTATTACTATTAGTATAATAGATCACACTCAATAATTGATATGTCTATTATAATAATAAAATCGACGTATATAATAATATATAGTAAAGTCGTAACTGTAACTATAATATATAATATATAGTAACTATTAATATAAAATGGCTAGTATATTAATAAAAAAAAAAAAGTAAATCTTACTATTAGTATATCATATCATACTCAATAATTGATATGCCTATTATAGTAACAAAATCAACATATATAATAACATATATTAAAGTTGTAACTGTTATTATAATAATATATAGTAAGTGTTGGTATAATATTCATATTATAGTAAAAAAAAAAAAAAGTAACTGTTATTATTAGTATAATATATCACATTCAATAATTATATATGCCTATTATATTAATAAATTCAACATATATAATAATATAAAGTAAAGTAGTATTTGTTACTATAATAATGTATAGTAATTTTTAGTATAAAAAGCCTATTACAGTAAAAAAAAAATAAAAAATTAATTATCACTATTTTTTTTTTGGTAGGGTAATTATCACTATTAGTATAGTGCATCACACTCAATACTTGATATGCATATTATACTAATAAATCGACATATATAATAATATATAGTAAAGTATTAACTGTTACTATAATAATATATAGTAACTGTTACTATAATATTGCTATTATAGTAATAAAAAAAAATAATTGTTACTATTAGTATAGGATAATGTGCATGAGTCACTGTAGTGATAAGGTGCTTTTAAAAAGGGTCGATCCCACAGGAAATTATAACAATTGCAATTCAACAACTAAGTTTAAGAATTAATTGAATGAAATGATACATACATACATACATACATATATATATATATATATATATATATATAAACATTCAATATATCATAATCATATTCATTATTATTATTATTATTATTATTATTATTATTATTATTATTATTATCATTGCTAGCATAATGGAATTTCCGACAACCTGAAAGTAATCTTAAATCAAGTTGAAAGTAAAAAGTGGTCGAAAATAGCAATAAAGGTTTTTTCGTATACCAAAAGTGGTCGGAACAAGGCTTTTGACTTTATTTAAGATCACTTTCAGGTCGAAAATTCTATAATTTCAAGTTGTGTATTATTATTATTATTATTATTATTATTATTATTATTATTATTATTATTATTATTATTATTATTATTATTATTATTACTATTATTATTATTATTATTATTATTATTATTATTATTATTATTATTATTATTTTATATAATGGTACTTAAGTATGTCATTAAAACCTATTCCATTTCTATTCTTTTAACCATCCAAACACTGGAATACAATTATTAAAATGTATTCCTTCACCGAACCAAACAATAGTTCTATTCCTTACCTATTCCATTCCCTGTGGAATAGCATTCCTATTCCCTCTAAATTCATTCTGTGAACCAAACGTACTCTTAGAGGAAGAGAATTGAGTGCAAAAAAGATAGATTTAGAAAATATATTTCAAGTAAAAATCTATGTAAATATTTTCTATAAAAATGGGTCATTTTTTTTTTTCCAATTAGACCCTAAATATATTTACCTAATTGTACACCTTAATACATTACTTACCAAAATAATTTACTTAATTAAATACTATAGTAAACCAAATATATCTTACTATATATGTGAAATATCATTTACTTATTTACCTAGACAAACATACTTTACTAAAAATGCTTATGGATTTTTTTTTGAAGTAATAATGCATATAGATAATAAATATATATGTACTAAAAAATAATAATTAAATATTATTAATATAAACATAAAAATTAAGTTAATAATTAATATTTTAATATAATATAAATTATGCTATTTTTGTTATTTATTTATTATTTTTTGAATTATTTTAATGTAATCATAATTTTAAATATTAAACATCAATATATAATTTACGTGATTTTTGTCCAAAATTGGATCCAATGAATTGACAGTTGTATCTTATCTGTAATCTATATCAGACCTTAAAAATGCATCATATACAATTTTCAATGCATATATATTAGTATACCGATTGTTTCTTTGCAAACACACATTAATTAGAATCATAACCCCGAATGAGCAAAAAAAATATGGGGGATTCCAAAATGTTGTTGCATGGAAAGTGGACACCAAGCAAGGAAAACCGTATTTGTGGAGTGCATTTCTCTCCCATAGAAACCCGCTATGCACCTTAGCGATTTAAGCTTCTGTATTTTATGCTGTATTTTCTAATCTATTTTTTTCATTTTACATATGTAGTGTATGTTGTTTTCGTATTCCAATGTTGTATTTCAATTTAATATATTATATTATTTCAATTTATCCATGTCAAACTTTTAGGACTTTGTTTTTAGTAATGTTGTATTCCAATTAAATATAATATATTATTCCCATTTATCCGT